CCACCAGCCATGTGATCTGTTTGAAGTTTGAACAGTTTGAAGCTGGGAACAAATTGTAATGAAGGAATTTGATCTCCATCAGCTCAAAGGCAGACTCTCTGTTCTCTGCAGTCAAAATTCATAGAATCACTACAGTGTGGAAGCAAGCTATTCAGTCCATTGAGTCCACACCAACCTTCCGAAGAGCATTCTCCCAGATGCACACCCACAACTGTACACTCTCATGGCCAATCCACCTTGCCTGCAAATCCCCAGCCACAATGGGCAATTTAACATGGCCAATCCACATAACCTGCACATCTTTGGACTCTGGGAGGAAAGTCACACAGAGGAGAAGGTGCAAACTCTACATGGTCACCCAATGGTGGGCTTGAACCTGGGTCCCTGGTGCTGTAAGGCTGCAGTGCTAGCCACTGAGCCACCCAAGTTCATGTCAAACCTGAAGAAAAGCAGTGGATCTTTCCTTTGGTGATTGCTATAAGCTGTGACTTCTCACTGCTGAATCAGAGGTGGTTTGGGGTGTATTAGCCACCTTGCGTCTCTTGCAAGAAAGTGGAAGGATCTGGTCAAGGAAAGTCAGCAACAAACTTCAAAATTAGTGTGAACCAACTCAACAGAATCTCTGCTGTATTCCCATGACAACACCCTGACCAATTAGAATCAACCTGCTTAGTCTGAGAATTAGGATTGACAATTAACTGTTCTTGCTGCATCACCATCCGCACCCACAACAGCCCCCCAAACCCAGCCAATGATGGCACAACCAATCAGCTCTCTCTTCTCATGCTGCTTGACCTGTTGCCCAAGGGTAATTAGTGTAACAAGGAAATCAAAGTGTATTAGAGTAGAGTGTGCAATTGCATCTTCAATCAGGTTAGGTTTGATTGTACTGAATGACTTATCCTCCTAAATTGTATTTTTTTATGTACGACAATTTTCTTCTGAGAAACTAACATATATTAATCTAACAAAATCAACAATTAACATAAATTTTGTTTAGGGCTCATTGTGGTTGCGTATGCACATGATGACCTGGTCACTCTGGTTGTGTTATGTCATGTGAGTGGTGAAGGGAAGATCCCAAGTACATCAAGAAATTTCATTGGGAATCTGCAGAGGTGAGGTTTGAAGTTTTGGAAGGAGTGCACAACAGCCCATTTACTCAAGACCTCAAATATCCCTAGCCTGCCTGTGGCAGACTCTACAGCCTTCTCAGAATTCAGGCAAGCAAGTCATCCCTTTTCCTGATGGATGGCCTTAGGGAGAGTGGGAATAAAAGTTCTAGCCTATTGTCCCATATAGCCTTAGCTGTCTTGATAGCTCATCAGTGACCTAGATCATGGAGGCCTGGAGGAGCCTTGTGGACTGCCAATGGTCTGTGGAGCACACTTTTGAGAACCACTGTGTTTAGATGAATGACTGATGTGGAGTATGAACCCTAGCAATGGGGCAGATAAGAGGAACACCTCAATTCTGTGCTGCATGTTCTATAACTGGAACACCCTCAACAGATTGGCGTTTGGGGGAAACAGGGTGAGTGTTTCTGATCGACTATCATCACAAGTAACAAGAGTCACCTAAATATCTAACAGCAGTGCCATCTTGTGCAAAAGAAGTACCATATTTGAGTACGTCACTGAGAGGAATTCTGGGAGATAGCACTGCAATCACCGTGACTGGTCTGAATATCACAGAGGAACTGGTGTCAAGGAGTGGTTTCCACCCTTCCCACCTCCTCTAACCAAAAGAAAAAGAGGAGGACAGGCAAGGTAAGATTCTTGTCTCTTTTTTCAAGTGTACAAGGGTGGAGATGACATTTAGGGCAGTGATATGCTCCCCTTGCCTGATGTAGGAAATCAGGGAGCAGTCTGTTCCTGACAACTACATCTGCAGGAGGTGTGACCAGCTGCAGCTCCTTGCAGACTGCATGGTTTGGTTGGAGAAGCAGTTGGACACACTGTGGTGCATGCAGGGGGCAGAGCGAGTGATAGACACTAGCTTTAGGCAGGTGGTCACACCAAAGGTCCAGGTAGATAGATGGGTGACCGCCAGGAGAGGCAGGCAGGTGGTGCAAGATTCTCCTGTAGTTATTCCCTTCTCAAACAGGTGTACAGCTTTGGATCCTGCTGGGGGGATAGCCTCTCAGGAGACAGCACAAGCAGCAGCCAGGCCTGTGGCACCACAACTGGTTCTGCTGTAGAGCAGGATGGGGCAAAGTCCAGGTGAGCGATAGTAGTCGGTGACTCAATAGTCGGGGCACAGACAGGCATTTATTTGGCTGTGAACAAGACTCTAGGATGGTGTGTCACTTCCCTGGTGCCAGGGTCTTGGATGTCTCTGAGCGGTACAGGACATCCTGAAACTGGAGGGAAACAGACAGAAGTCATTATCTACATTGGCACAAATGACATAGGTAGGAAGAAGGAAGAGATTCTAGAGGCTAGGAACAGAGAAAGAGAACAGTTGAACTCATGGCTACAGAACTGTTGCAGGAGGGAGGGCTTTAGATATATGGATCATTGGGATGTCTTCTGGGGAAGGTGGGACCCGTACAAGAAGGATGGGTTGTACCTGAACTGAAGAGGCACCAATATCCTAGGCAGGAGGTTTGCTGGAGCTCTTCAGGACAGTTTAAACTAGCGTGGCAGGGAGCTGGGAACCAGAACAACAGGCCAATAACTGCAGGGACTGGGGACAGAAGAGAGAATGAGATATGCATAGCACAGAGTAAGAGCAGACAGAGGTAAGTCGTGGGGTTAAAAGGACTGGAGGTCTGGAGTGCTTTTACTTCAATGCAAGAAGTATAACAGGTCAGATGTAAAAGGAAGCATACGATAGGTCTAGGCAGCTACAAACCTACGAAGCCCTAGAGGAGTATATAGAAATTATGAAGGACCTTAAACGAGGAATTAGGAAGGCTAAAAGGGGCCATGAAATGACTTTAGCAAATGGGGTCAAGAAGAATCCCAAGGCTTCTTATGCATATATTAGAAGAATGAGCAAGATAAAGAGTAAGCCCACTCAAGGACAAAAGAGGGAAGTTATGCTTTGAGAGACAGGAAGTGGGAGAGATCCTTAATGAGTACTTTGTATTGGTTTTCACTAAGGATATGGACGTGACTAATGTTGAGGTCAGGGATGAACGTGTGAATACTCTAGAGAATGTCGATATATTAAAGGAGGAAGTTTTGAATATCCTAAATTGCATTAAGGTAGAGAAATCCCCAGGGCCAGATGGGGATTAGCCAATGCTTTTTTCCTTGTTTAAGAAAGGAAGAAGGGATAATCCAGGAAATTATAAACCCATGAGCATGATGTCTGTGGTGGGGATGCTCATGGAGAAGATACTGAGGGACAAGATATATGCACATTTGGAAAAAATTGGACTAGTTAGTGACAGACAGCATGGTTTTGTATGGGGAAGGTCATGTCTCACTGACCTGATCGAATTTTTGGAAGAGGTGACAAAGATAATTGATGAGGGAAGGGCTGTGGATATAGTTTACATCGACTTTAGTAAGGCATTTGATAAAGTACCACACAAAAACTAAAATTGCATGGGATTTGGGGCGGGCTGTCTATAAAACTGGCTTGGTCATAGAAGGCAGAGTAGAAGGGTATTTTTCAGAATGAAGACCAGTAACTTGTGGTGTTCCACAGTGATCAGTCTTAGGTCCTCTGTTTGTAGTATATATAAATGATCTGGAGGAAAACGTGGCTGGTCTGATTAGTATGTTTGCAGATGACACAAAGATTGGTGGAGTTGCTAATAGTGCTGATGATTGTGAAAGGATACAACAGGATATAGATAGATTGGTGACATGGGCACAGAAATGGTAGGTGGAGTTTAATCCAGACAAATGTGAGGTGATATATTTTGGGAGATCAAATTTAGGTGTGAATTATACTGTAAACGGTAGAACCCTTAGGAACATTAGCATACAGATGGATCTGGGTGTGCAGGTCCACAGTTCCCTAAAAGTGGCAGCACAGGTGGTTGAGAAGGCATATGGCATGTTTGCCTTCATCTGCCAGGGCATGGAGTACAAGAGTTGGCAAACCTAAAACCCTTGTTAGGCCTCATTTGCAGGTTGGTCACCACACAACCAGAGGGACATGGAAGTTTTGGAGAGAGTGTAGAGAAGGTATATCAGGAAGTTGACTGCATTGGCTATGAGGAAAGGTTAAAAAGACTAGGATTGTTTCCATTGGAATGATGGTGACTGAGAGGAGACCTACAGAAGTCTACAAAATTATGAGAGGTATAGATAGGGTGGACAGCCAGAGTTGAAGTTTCAATTACAAGGGGGCACAGGTTCAAGGTGAGAGGGGGAATGTTTAAGGGAGATATGCAAAGGAAGTTTTTCAGGGAGAGCAGTAGGAGCTTGGGACGCACTGCCAGAAGAGGTGGTGGAAGCAGGCACGTTGGCGACATTTAAGAGGCATCTGGATGGCTACATGAATAGGGAGGGAATAGAGGAATACGGACGGAATAAGGGCAGAAGGTTTGTTTTTTAGTTCGGTTAGGGCATGGTGATCGGCACCGGCTTGGAGAGCCGAAGGGCCTGTTCGTGTGCTGTACTTCACTTTCGTTCTTTTGGGTAAGCGAGCCAATAAAGCTGAGTATGACCGAGACTTGGACACCTCTGCTGGCTGAAGGTTTCCTGGTGACATACAAGTCAATGTGTGCCTATGATAGAGGGGGTAGTGCATTGCGATGACGCTGCGTGTGGGATTGGAGCTAGTTTCACATCGGACTAGAAATAGCCTTCATTCCTAATCCCTTTCAAACCGTGCTCTGCTCAACACTGAGGTGAGTATGTTACCGACAACCAGTAACCTAGCAGTTCCTGAATTCTCCCCCACCCTCTCTGGCTTTACAGCAGCACGATCAATTGGCGCAGAGAGAGCTTCACCTCTTCGGGGGCTGCAGTATATTGTGTTTTTTTTGCTGTTTTTTCAGGCCTGTTTTAGTAATGTATTCACCTACAAAGACCCATCCTCCCTCTCCCGGCCCAAGCTCCCGAGACAGCTGGAAATTGACACACAGTACAGTCTTTCCAAGGAGCCGGTGCTGGCCTCACAGTCGAAGCCCTTTAAAAGCCTCGCTCGCTGTCACGGCGCCTATATTTAGAATCTGTGCTTCCAGTCCCTCTCGCTGGGTGAGGAAACATTTCCCAACGTATGTTTTCACTTCCTGTGGTTTAAAAAAAAACACGATTTTTTTCAAGCCCCGTATGTAGTGCAGGTTCTGGTTAAAAGCCTGGACTGTAGAAGAAATACGGAATGGTGGTGACTTTATAAAGCAACCAGCAAAATATTTACTTGCTGCCTGTAATATGGTGTGAAACAGACATTGAATCTCTTCACTTGGCCTCTCTCTCTTAAAATATTGAAAATCAGGTACTTCTAACAAGCTATTGTTTCCGAAGTTAATATCTCTGTAAATGATTTTGTTTTGTTCAATATTGTTACGAGGTTTCACGGTATTATAAGTGCTGTATAATTTCAAATTGTTGATATAGTTATCCTGGGTCACTCTCTCTTTCACTTACTGAAACTGTGTCTACTCAGAATTCTCACAAAATCCCTATCGTTTGGCTGAAGCGAAAGCTGGTCCTGGACCCCACCCCCCGACCCCGTTCTGGCTTTTATATAGTCTGTAGCAAGTTTATAGTTTAATGGGCATTGAGATTCTGCCCATGTTTGGCATCGCCACTCGTCGAATCCCATGGTATGCTTGAATTTCATTGGGTACTTGGATGAATAAAGGGGATGGGCTAGGGCAAAATAAACTTAAGATGTCTTGTAGAACATCAGGACATTCCGAAGCAATTTACAGCCAGTGAATTACTTTTGAAGAGTCTCTCACTGGTAATGAGAAAAACGTGGTGGATAATTTGCATACTCCCGTAACCTGTGAGCGATAATGATGAGATAACTCGCTCTGAGACTGTTGTTGAACCAAGTAGGTGAATATGTTAAAACTCTGAACAGACTATAATAAAAAATGTCTTGCTCCTCAGTTGGACCGTGCTTCAGGTTTACCACCTCTCACCCTTTCTACAATCCTTGTGTGCAAAGCAGCCTCAGTGCTACTCTTAAAAAATTATCAATTGTGGGGCAGATTTTGTTCTCTATGCATTTGCATCACCTTGTCCTGATCACCTGCTGGTTTAAGTTAGAAACTGCTTACATGCTGTAGCACAAAGCGTAGTTAGTGACTGAGAACATTAGATTTCTTTCAGACTGTGGTTAAGTGAAATGAATGGGTTGTCTTATGAGGATAGGTTAGACAGGATGGGCTTGTTTCCACAGTTGTTTAAAAGAGTGAGGGATGACTTGAATGAAGTGTGTAGGACCCTAAAACAAAAATAGAAGTTGCTGGAAAAGCTCAGCAGGACCTGGAATGGTTTAAACAATGTGAGTGTGGAAAGGTTGTTTCTTCTTGTAGGTCATTCAAGAACCAGGGGGCACTGTTTTAAAATTTAAGGGTTGCCCTTTAAGACAGAGATGAAGTTTTATTTCCTCTCTGGTTGTGCAACTTTGGAACTCTATGCCTCAGAAGACAGTACAGGTGGGGTAATTGAGTATATTTAGGACAGAGGTGGGTAGATTTGCGTTAGGCTGGTGACCCAGAATGTGGGAATATGGAATTAGAAACATAGTTAGATCAGCCATGATCTTATTGAATGGTGGAACAAATTTGAGGGGCCGAATAGTTCTTCTCCTATTTCGTATGTTTGTATTATAAGTGGCTGCTCTGCTTTACCACAACATAAGTAGCTTTCAGTGTTACCAGTGACAGCAGTAACAGAATGTTCCATTCACTGTGATTCCTGAAATAATGATACTTTTATTTCTAATTATGAAATATTCTCACAACAACAAAGATGCAGGAGAGTGAACTTCCTTCTGATTTCTGCCCTATCATTTTTGACTTCAACCCCATCAAAAAATTGTATTCATGTAGCCTTTTAAATGAAAGAACATGGTAAGGTACTTCATGAATATGCGGAATGGATGCTGATGCAAAAGGAGCAAGTTGTGCAGATAGTCTTTTGTGGTTTATTTTTAAGGTGAAAGGAGAAAGATTTAAAGGGGACCTGAGGGGCAACTTTTTCACAGAGGGGGTGTTTCGTATGTGGAATGAATTGCCAGAGGAAGTGGTAGATGCAGGTACAGTCACAACATTTAAAAGACATTTGGATAGGTATGTGAATAGGAAGGATTTATGTGCCAAACACAGGTAAATGGGACTAGTTTAGTTTGGGAAACTTGATTGGCATGGATGAGTTAGACCGAAGGGTCTGTTTTCATGCTGTATCACATTATGGCTCTATGAATAGAAGTTCCAGAAAATGGGAGCATGCCAGTTTAAAGTTCTGCAATTGGTGATGTAGGGAATTGGTGGCAATGACTGTTTACAGGAACATAGCAAACTGGAAGAGATTGGAGAGATTAAATTCTTCCAACTCATAGGCAAGAGGAATAATTTGAATTTCTTGTATGTTTGGCTGATAGGTTACAACAGATTAGGAAGGATACTGAGCAATGGGAGAGCTGGACATTGTGCAGAATAGGAGATATGTGGTGGAGTCCTGTACATGTTGGAGTTGAAAAGCTATCAAGTAGTTTGGAGTTGTTAGCACTTGAGTTACAAAATTATGTTTTATAGTTTGAATGGTAACAGGCAGTGCTGTAGAAATTGTCTCGGTGATAGAATGTGGGATTCAACTGGTCTCACTCAGCCTAAGAAAGTGACTGGAGAGAAGATTCAATTGGTGGCTAGGGGACAGATTTTATGATGAGGCAGCAAAGGCAATGCCTTTATGAAAACCGAAAGAACTGTGGATGCTGTAAATCAGAAACTAAAACAGAAGTTGCTGGAAAAAATTCAGCAGGTCTGGCAGCATCTGTGAAGAGAAATCAGCGTTAACGTTTTGGGCCCGGTGACCCTTTCTCAGAACCGTTCTGAGGAAGGGTCACCGGACTCGAAACATTAATTCTGATTTCTCTTCACAGATGCTGCCAGACCTGCTGAATTTTTCCGGCAACTTCTGCTTATGAAGGAAATGTCTTTGGTCTTCTCAGTGTTTGAATGGAGAAGTTATCCTGAAACATGTTGCAGACGACACAGTATCTCCAAAATTAAGTGACTTTGCTTGACAATCGAGAGTTCAAAGAGGTGATAGAGATCTAAAGCAGTGCATCAGTAGAGGCTCAGATATCAATACAAGTGCAAATCTTGTCTGTGGCTTTCAGCCCATTAGATGGTATGGTATGTTGTGTCACTTTCCTGGTACAAAATCCAATATTGGTTTGGTTTCATTTTAATTGTCCATGTTTTTGCCCTCCTGCTCCCCAAACCTAGCATAAAAACAATTCAGTCCTCAGGCATTTAGTAACGTTCCTAGAAACGAAGGCAATTCTACAATCGGTTTATGGTGTTAGTGGATGCATGATTAGAAGTTTGAAAATAGAAAATCTGATTCATAATTTATTGATATACAGAGATTAATAAATTCCTACTGATCTGTTTGTCACCTAGTAAAGGTGGATTGCATTAATTTCTAGGCAGCATTTTTAAAGAATGAATTGTTGATGCAGAATGTGCTGTAACCTGTTCCATGTTGTGCAATGTACTTGATAGGTTAAAGGCAAATGACTGTCATTGTTTTATCTTGAGACTAATGAAATGGCAAAAGGAAAAATGATTCAAGATTCAACTTTCGTAAGGATACAAAATAAAACTGGAGCTGTGGAACACAGATGTGAGAAAACTCAGGACCATAAAAAGCTTAATCTACCGTTATAATCCACCTGGCCACTTCCAGAATTCAGAATAAATAAGCACAGAGATGGGGTTATGGGGATAGGGTTATCAGGAGAATGGTATTCTTTTTGATGACAGTAATAAACAGTCAGATCATGCATCTTTGTCGACTTTAAGCCCTGCGCCTGTTCCTGATCCACCTGATGGCTTTTATTTTGAGGCCTTCACAAAGGTGACTCCGAGGTCTGCCTGTTTCATTCTGTGCTCTACTTATAATTGCAGATTAAGGTTTATCAGATATTTAGGATCTGCATACAATTCTGAAGATGTCCTTATCACCGGGCCAGAAGGTTCAAGTCCTACCTGCTCCAGTGGTGTGGCATAGTATTTCTGAGCAGGTTGACTAAAAATGCCTACAAATCGAAGGGACCAACAAATGGAGTGCATTTAGTGTAAAGCTCCTTCAACTAATATTCTAAGACTGCTGGATGCCAATCCACAAACAGATAAGTTCCCCTTTCTCTTTAAAGAAAAGTCGTCTTTTGTAAAGTTAAGAGGTGCAATGATTGACCCTCCTGGCTCTACAGAATTATTTTAGTTCACTTCCTGCCTGCTGTCCCCACCCTTTAATCCCCTGATTACTTTCCTTCTCTTTGACATTAAACTTGCACCCAATGCAGTCACTGGGTTTCCTACACAACCCAATGTGAACTGTCCATGAGCACTGCTTCAGAGCTGGCAGCTCATTGGCATTAGATAGAGGAGGCTGAATGCCAAGAGCATCAGCCAGCCAACCTGGTTGTACTCTCGTTCAGTCAAAATTTCCCCCGTTGTAAGGACATTTGACTCAAAAGGCAAATTTCCAAATCTTTGATTATCTCTCAAAGATAATCCTCCCATTATATTTGAGAGGATTTCCCAAAATCACGTCATGATCTTAAAATTTCTGTCGAACTTTGCAGAGGTCACTAGGAATATGGCAATCTTTGAAATGAGTTTGCGGGAGGCTAGTAAATTTTTATAGGCTCACAGCAAGCGTATCAATGTTCGTAGGAGCCAATGGGAAGAAGTATAGTGTCCTCATACAGCTAAATTTGAAAACTGTTGCTAGGTATAGCAATTACCAAAATGTTGTTTTACTTTTCACAGCATATTGACTTGTTTATTGAACAGTTATGTGATGGTTCTTTTCTTTTTCATGTCCTAAAACGGGTGTGGATTGCTTCCTTTCTTTTCTGTAAGCAGGCTTGATCATGTTTTGGTTGTTGAAACATAAAAACAGAGCAATAAGCTGCTGCCTCTGTTGTGGCCACCTGAGATACCAGCATCACAAAGCTGTCTTGGCCTTGCGGAGGGAGGATATAAATGCCTGGGAGAGGCGAGCACCATTGGCTCCAAGACACATCAAAGAGGTGACCAGCGCAGGCTACAAAGTCTTGGTGCAACCATCCAACAGAAGAGCCATCCATGAAAAGGTGATTCTGAATGATTCATTGTGTACAATGTCTCTGGACCCAATTTTAATTGGTTCTACCAGCACCCCAAGTTTTTAAGTCTGCTTTAAATTTAAGCTGGAGCAATTTTATTTCTATGAATGGAACTCATTTTTAAAAAGAAATGTCAAGAAACCATGACCTCATCAGTCAGCACTTCTATATGTTGATAGCTATGTTTATCTCTCAACAGGAATTAGTTTACCACTCAGAACAAATTTCTCAAGTTGTTCTCCAGATTTCTTCACTATTCTGGCAGCAATGTTATTGAGCGGTTTCTGCCTCCAGTTTTCTTTCACTTTAAATGAACTGTTTTGGATTAATAATGATACTGTTTGTTTGAAGGCAGAAAATTTGCAAGGGAGCTTCACTTTGTTGTTGGAATAGTCTTGTTTCAACAGTTCTAATTTGATATTCTAATTCAGATCTTCCTAACATTGCGTTGGTGAGGTGCTTTGTTTTGTAGTGCTTATTCATGTAATTATTTATCTTCAAAATATCTTCACAATAATATGTAACATGGAGCAAAATCATAAATGTAAATAATGAGCAAGCTACTCCCCAGGCTTTCACTTTGTAACAAACATGAATTCTTCCATAGTGCTTGCAAGTTCAGTTTAGAATGAAAGTGGCCAAAATCCAAATTCTAAAAGATTTCTTCAATTGCCAGTTAATCTGTCTCATAAATGCACAACTAAAGTCTGTTCTTCTTGGTTTGTTTTCTAATTCTTCCTCTTTTTAATGTTCACTTCCATCCAAAAGATCCTTGTTTTTCTTTTAAAATGGAGAGAACAGCTTCAGTAAAACAGCAGTCCAAATGTTGTATACAAGCACGGTGGGGCAGCTAGAGTTTCCACATTCACAATTCAGGTGCCTGCTCAAAATTACACCCATTTAAAAAAAAAAATTCCCCATTCTACATTGTGTTTCCACACTGCTGAATTTGCATTTTATTATTGCACAAGCTGCTCTGAACCAGTGTAGTTTGTTTCTTTAAAAGTTTAAAATTATCTTAATTAAAGATAGTAATTTGAACAGTGTAATTGCTGCAAAAAATGGACTTGCTGTGAAATATAGGTATTTTTAATTGCTGTCAAGCCACTATCTACAAGAGCTGAGTTTTAAATGACTTTTTCCAAATATATAAAATAATTTTTTAACTATGTTGAGGTATTGTAGTTGGTTTATTAATAAATTAAATTTAAAAATAATTCAAAATCTTTAAAAATTTGTCTTTTTCTCTCCTAGCACCCAAAAGAACTAACTTAATTTTTAAGGAATTCTACAGGTTTGCAAATAAACACAAATAGTGAAAACTTCTTCTGGTTATTAATTCATCCGTGGGCTGTGGCAGAGCTTGTAGCAAGGCCTACTTTAGTTTGACCTCTTATGAACCTGGTGTAAAAGATTGCGAAATAGGTATGCTGAATGTAAATCAGATGTCAAATTCTGTGATATTTCCATGCCAGTTATTCCAATTTCAATCAAATGAGCAAGAATAAGGCTCAACTGAGCAGAATCTCTAAGCTGTTAATTGATTGTTCCCTAATGTCTGCAGCAATCATTTTTAAGATTGCATTATTAACGTCTGTAAAAGTCTGAAGTGCCTAAAACATGAATTAAATGTATGATACTCTTTTACAAAATTTATATAGATTTTGATTCTTGCCCTGCCAATTCTATCTCAATTTACTCATGATCCAGTAAAGAAATTAAAATTTATGAACATAAGTGGGAGCACAAAATCACCAATTGGTACAAAGGACTTATTTATCTCTGACATATTGGCTTGTTGAGGCTAAATGTGTTTGAAGTTCACTTATGAAAGAAGAAACTATATTTTTATAATGTCTCCCTTTTTAGGATTATCGGCAGGCAGGGGCTATAATCCAAGAAGATATCTCCGAGGCTTCTTTAATTATTGGAGTGAAAAGTCCTCCAGTGGAGAAGCTAATACCCAAAAAGACTTATGCCTTCTTTTCACATACAATTAAAGCCCAAGAGGCAAATATGCCTCTTCTGGATGCTATCATTGAAAAGGTATAGTAGAATTTTTGTTAGCAGTGCGTGGAACTTGATTTTAGTGACCTTTAAACACCCCTCATAAGATTACTTTGTTTGAACATTTTCTATATCTTTATTGTTATTGATGACAATGAAAACAAACAGATCCTGACTGTGCTGTCTTCAAGATTTGTTGGAAATTCTCTTGATATTCAGACTGATATGCTTTGGATGAGTACAGAGGTGGACTTACACCTTGTCAGCATTATCCCAACCTGAGGCCATTTTCCCAGAGAAGGATTAAGGGCTGGTATTTTCTAGCAGCACGTAGCCAATTAATGTAAGTTAATTGGCCTAAAGTAATTATTTTTAGAAGCCAACTGGAATTTTTCAGTCAGTTTGAGGGCCCCTTCTGATGGCAGCTCTGCTAGCTGCTCTGCAGGGAAGGTGCCTCTTCTGCCTGTCTGACTCTAACTCACAGGCCACTCTGTATAGAGGGGTTCCTCTACCATAATGGCAGCCTGGCTGTTGTGACCACTTTTTTAGATTAAGAGATGGAAGCCGTCTGTCCACAGTGCCTGAAATGGCAGGTGTCCGCTCCTCCTGAGCTGGAGTCACTGCTATTAGCCCATCCACGTCAAGAGATTAAGGATGGTGAGCTCACCCTGTGGCCACAAAGTGGCTAATCCAGAGGAAATCGTTGCCAAGAGACAGCAATACACAGTGCGTGATTCTGACCCTTATCCGACAACTGGGGTCAACCCGAAAGCAAAACTCCTGTCGCCTGTTGTTGTTGAGATTGCATTTTTGTTTTATGGACGCCTAATTAATATGTGAAGGTTTGTTTCAGCATGCCTAGGTTTATATTGTTGATCTCTTAGAATCTGAAATCTTAGAAACTGAGATGGTCAGTTGTGTCCATTACGTACTGTCAGAAGCCAACATTTCTCAACACTTTTAATGTGATTTTAAAAAAAGTGTGGTGTGTGCCCATAATAAATAAATTAAAATCTTTATTAAAGGAGATTTAATTAAATAAACAAAAACTCTTGATTGGGCAGGGATTTAAGATCAAAAGAGTTGAGCAACACTGAAGAAGGGTCTAGGCCCGAAACGTCAGCCTTCCTGCTCCTCTGATGCTGCTTGGCCTGCTGTGTTCATCCAGCTCTACGCCTTGTTATCTCAGATTCTCCAGCATCTGCAGGTCCTACTATCTCTAATGTAATGTTGCTTCCTTGCAGTGCTCATTCATTTGGGCCTTTATACAAGAGGCTGTCTGATTGGAAGCTGGCCAGAGGCCCTTCTAAATGGAATTCAATCAAACCTGCCCACAGCTAAAGAATTAATTATGGTGACTGAGAAGCAGTGTTGCTGGAAAGAAATTTGGGCCCAATTGACTGGCTCAAGCTGGATTTGTGTGATTGGAGACAGCAGTATAATTTTCAGATACTGCTTTCTGTTTGGTAAAAGCAACATTGCCAGTGCACAGTAGGCAAATTCTGGGCTTGGTCCAGGATGTAGGAGTGAGTCCATATTATTACCTCAAAAACAAATAGATGATGTTTAAAACTTGGACTGTTTTAGTGTGATAGCAATAATTTAAAAACATGGTGTAGTGTGTATCTATAATAAATAAGATAAAATCTTCATTAAAGGTTTTTTGATTAATTAAACAAAAACTCTGGATTGGGCAGGTACATAAGAGCAAAACAGTTGAGCAAAATTCAGTTTTTTTTAAGGAAAAAATAACTCCCTCTCCCTACGGTAATAAAATAAATCAGTTAACAGAATACTATAAATATTCTTGACTCTGTGTAATTATTGCGTATTTTAGACATTGCAGCACAGGGTGTGTATTGAGTAACTTCCTCCATGAAATCTCCTTGTGGGGGAGGAGAAAGAGAACTGTGAATGTCAGAAATCTAAAATTAAAAAAAAGGGAGATGATGGAAATGTAGCTCCTGAAAGTGCCAGTATTTTCTGGTTTTTTAAAAAAATTTTACTGTTGGCAAGAGTTTCCCAGTTTTTTGAGTTAGTAAAGTTTGAGGTCTTTCTGTTTTATGGAAGACTTTTTTTTTGTTTGTGTGGAGACCCTGGATAATTTAAATTTGAGTTTCTATTTCACTCAGACATTGAATGCAAGCGAATGCTTTAATGTTGCTAAACATGTTTAATCACTGCAAGAGATTGTAGTCCCAAAGAACTCATGTTGCTTTTTGTTGTACTTCTAGGAAATTCGCCTGATTGATTATGAAAAAATGGTGGATAGCAAAGGGACAAGAGTTGTGGCATTTGGCAAATGGGCTGGGGCAGCAGGTACACTTATCCCATTGTAACCTTTATCCCTTGGAACAAATACATGATGACCTGAACAATACCTTCCTAATTATTTCCTCCTGCTGGTTGTTACAGGAATGATCAACATTTTACATGGTTTGGGACTGCGCCTCCTTGCTCTCGGCCACCACACTCCTTTCATGGTAAGAGTCCTCTATTTTTCCTGCTTTTGTGTAGTATTGTGCTCCTGGGTTTGTTGATGTAATAAGCAGGATGGATAAAAGAGAAGCATTAGATTGAGTATGTATTTGGATTTGATAAGGTATCCCATGAAAGCTTATTGCAGAAGGTTAGAGCTCCTGGTGTTGGGGTCGTATGTATTAGCATGAATAGAGGACGAGTTATTTAACAGGATACAGAGAGTTGGAATATATAGGTCATTTTCAGGTTGGCTCCATTCTAACTAATGGACTGCCATGCTAATTATGCTGCGGCTGCAACTATTTATAAACTACGATAATAACTTGGATGAAGAAATGACAGTGGTGTAATCAAATTTGCAGATAGATGGGAAAGCAATTTATGATGAGGAAACACTGGCTTAGCTTTTGATCCCGAGGTGGGGGGTAGGTACACGTTGAATTTGGGCTGGTGATCCCTGGAAACATTTCAGAGACAGACACAGGCTTGTATAATACGAAGGCAGGCTGATTAAAAGGCCCATCTTGGTTCCCTAAGACTTCATCACAGTTGTTTTCTTGAACCCAGGTCCTCTGACCGTCACACTGCCCCATCTGCTCCCCATGCTCCATGTATGTCAACTCCTGCCAAGCTTTTCATCCTTCTTCTAAGACCCCTTGTATCCTCCATGCCAACCTCTTCTCCCTCTACTCATTCCCATGGTCCCTTATAACTTTTATGCCAACTTACTGCACCCCACATCTAAATGGACTCTTTATGGGTCCTGTGAAATCTGAGTGACAATGCATCCATCTACATGAATTCACATGGTCCTGCTGAGTTTGTGTTTCTTCTCTGTGTGAATCATGTCATTGCTCTGTTTCCCTGTCACAAAAAAAATCTGTCAGAAATGTCAGAAAACCCTATATCAGGGTTTTAGCCCCTTTTTGGGTATGCCGTGGAGTCTCGACAACTCCAAGAAAATCTAGGCCAAAGCAATATGGATAGGTTAAGTGAGGATCAAAGATTTGCAGATGGAGTATATTATGGTAAAATGTGATGTTGTCCACTTTGGCAGGGTAAGAATAGAAATGTAGAACATTATTTAACTAGAGTAAGACTGCAGTATGTGTATGTACAGAGGAACCTGGGGATTCTTGTATATTGAACACAAAAACTAGCATGCAGGTACTATGGGTAATTCAGAAAGTACGTGGAATGTAGGGCCTTTATTGCAAAAGGAGCAGAAGATAAAAGTGGAGAATTCATGCAACACATTTTGGGATATTGGTAGGACCAAGAACTCATTGAAGTTTAATAGAATGAGAAGCAATAGATTCTGACTGGATGGATGCTGGGAGGATGTTTTGTCTTTTGGGGGAGTCTGGAGTTGTGAGGTACAGTTTAAAAATAAAGGTTCCTCCATTTGAAATGGAAGTGAGGAGATGATTTTTCTCTCAGGGTCATTACTCTTGAAATTCTCTTTTCAGACAGCAGTGCAGCCTGGGTCATTGAGTATATTCAGGTTACAGAGTTTTGATCAACCAGGTTGACCAGGGTTATAGGAAAGGAAATAGACCAAAAACAGACAAGTCATGATCTTATTGAATGGCAAAGCAGGCTCAATGCCTACTCCCCTTATTTTTCATGATCTTATGACTGACTTAATCTTATTTTGTCAGTACCCTCCCAACTTAATTTCTTTCCACTCCTCCCTTTTGAAGATGTTGTTGTCTTAGTTGCTGGTGGTTAGATATGTTAGCTGCTCTTTCTGTTACATTGTTCAAGATTAAGATTTAGTTACTCCTAGATAAAGATTTCAGAATGTTGCTCACCAGTAGAGCAGCATATTCGAGAATAAATTCTAACTTCTCCTGATATTCAGTGACACAAGTTCCAGTAGGGGCTGTTGAATTCATATCAACCTTTAGTGAATCCAAGCCGGCTGCCGAGGTGGAAATGAAGACACGTGGCTTTTTTGTTCAGAGAGTTTATTGACTTACTCAGTCTTGTACCTTTCACCATTCCCCCCTGCCCCGTCCCCCCAACCAAGCGTCACTGTGGCTTTCCATTTATATGTGCTCAAAGACAATTAATATCTATCACTTATTATTCATAATATTAATGATAACATTTAAGAAACTCTAACGATTTGATGAACCAGACATTAGCAATCAGGACCTCCCTAATCCTGGGACACAGGCTAATTGAGACTCATTCTGACTGAGATCTGCTCACTTCTAGCACTTCTCATGTCTATACAGGTGAATTACTTTGGAGTTAACAGAAAATCCTCATTCATAATTTTGCTAATGTTTTAAATAAATGCAACTGGCCTCTGGGAGCTTCACTTTCACATCCTTGGATTTTTGATGGCCAGATTCTGGCACGAGAGTTTTCAAACCTTTAACAAAAGGGCCAAACCTCCCATTCATCCTAACACCATCTAACAATCTAGGTCTACGATAAATATCTTTTAGTATATCTTTTAGAGCTGCTATTTAAAGTTAGATGCAAGACAGCAGTCACCACAGAGCTTCTCCTGCTTTGCTACGGTAACTGTGCTTGTCATGTGATGGAACCCCAGTTTTACGAGTGGTATAGGGGTGGGGTGATGGTAATGGGGAAAATGATGGTGGGAGGGCAGATGATATTGGGAAAAGGTGCCTTCAATGAGGGTCTTCCAGTGAATCTAGTCTTGGAGCCATCAGAGCTGAGTTAGAGTCATCTGGTGAGCTGTTTTGTTAATGAGTATTGATATATTCAGTCGATGCATTCTGTTTTCAGCATATTGGCATGGCTCACAATTACAGGAACAGTGCCCAGGCAGTGCAAGCTGTTCGGGACTGCGGTTACGAGATCTCCTTAGGTTTAATGCCTAAGTCCATTGGACCAGTTACGTTTGTGTTCACAGGCACTGGTAATGTCTTCAAGGTAGGTTTTATGTGTTTTGCTCAGTTTGTAGGGAATGAGGGGATTACTTTAATGTCTCTTTGGTATTCTTTCTAGTAAAATAACATTAAAATAAGGTCACAAAATGTGTATTGAACCAAGGTCAAGATAGCAGAAGAGACCCCTTTGTATCTTAAAATATCTATGAAAATGTTCTCTCTTCAAAAAAAGTGGAGTGTATGTATGTGAAATGTATCTGTTTTCAATTTGCTTACATCATAAAATTGTTCGATCTCATGCAAGAAGAGGCAATAATAACGGCAGGAGTTGGCCCTGGGAAAACTAATTACAGTATTTTTTTTTCCTGCTTTGTTTGCTAGTGAGTGTTGGAAAAGTGCAGTAAAGTCTGCTATGTTATCAGCGCAGTCAAAGTTTTTGTTTTCGATGTTCTGTGCAGCAGTGCATTTTGTGGTGGGAGTCGGCAAATTCAGAGAAGGGAAAGCAACACTATTTTGCTTATGTCTTAATTTGTGATATTGGAGTGTGAGGTGCCCTTCAAAATGGCACCGTAAGTTTTTTCATAATGTCACTGGGTGAAATCTTGCTTTTTTTTTTAGAGGATTCAGTGCATCGTTATTCACCTGACTCACATAGTTGAACATGATTTGGATGTGGCTTGTCCTTGAGTGAGGGAGGGCTAAAGTCAAAACAAATGTTTGGAAGCATTATTGTAGACAGTGACTGGTCAGTCCATGGAGTAGCTCCTTGGGGAAATGGTGAAAGGTGCTGATACCAATACATTCGAATAGAAATTAGATGTATTTCAGAAAATAACATTTTAGGATACAGTGCACGAATAATTGAAGAAATAACATGTTAAGTGTAGCATGCTTAGAAGGAACAGTTAACTGTGGAGTTATGGTTCTCAAAACTGTAATGCAGAGATTTCCTCGCATCATGTATGGATCGGTTGTAGACTAATTGATAGCAAATTGTTGCTATCATTACTTGACAACTTCTTTGTTGTTACAACATGTGACTTTCAGAATGGTAGCAGAGGAACAAGATGATTTTTGGACTTTTTTGAATAGCAGTTAATATGTTCACTTGCTAGAACAGTCATTGAGTGTTGCTGAAAAGAGAAATGTTGTCTTGCTCGTATCAGGAAAAACGCAAAAATATCTCGTTTCAAATGATCACAACAACTTATACTACAGGAGAAAAGGAGTTGATTGCATGGAAGTTGACTAATTAGTTGGCATGTTGCCACAGAGTAAATAATGGGGGGAAAATGCACCCCAAACTCCAAGGTAGTTAAAAGAAAGGCACAGGGCTTAACATGTTCCTTTTGTTTGCACAGATCTGGTCTCCGTACATAAACATATATCACTTTGAGGAAGGATAAATAAGCCACTATACATGCTTTACTGATTATCATAAATTGGTTGTTAATATAGCTGTTTGCACACTTGGGATTATTGAGGCACTGTATTCATTTATCCAGAAGCTTATGGAGCCTATAATCCCCTAGCTTAGCTAACATAATTTTCTTTTCAGCAACATTCAAATTCCTATATCTAATGTGAACTGCTTAATGCTTGTGCAATTTTCATTGTTTAATCAGAGTTGTAGTTGTCTTCAAGGTCATTCCCAGAGGGGTTAGACTTAATCGTCTTTTTAAAATCATGCCTGTTGGTCATTATTGCAGTTCTTTCGATAATCGGTTCTGAGTGTCGGTTTGCTCCTGCTAGCTCGCTATTTGTGTGCATTGAGTTAGTACAACTGCAAGAAAAGAAATACATGTTTCATTTCCAATTCATGAATGGATTTGTTTTACCTTATCAAGAAATTGTGTTAAGTAGTTTGTGGTTTAATAAGCACAATTTTGCTCTGACTTATACTTGAGAAATAATTCCTAAATGTTAGAACTTTTCCCACATCGAACTGAGTCCTGTATATGGACTGAAAGACCACATGAAGGAATGTTAGAGTTGAATTCCCCCTGTTGCAGCCACCCTGTATACAATTACTATCAGCATTATTTTGGAGGGGTTAATGCGGGAGGAAGATAACGATTATTTTCAATTAACTTAGGTTGGGGATGAGCTGAGGATTTTAGAAGTGAGGGACGAGTTGTTGAGGGAATTGAACAAAACCTTGAAGGGAAAAGTTAGGGGAATTGGGCTTGCTAAATTCCTCTTGCAAAGAGCAAGCATGGGTTTGATGGACCAAATAGCCTCCCTCTGTGATATAACCACTTCATGATTCTAATCTTAAGAGTTGTACATTTCAATGAAAGAGCAGAATTGCATTCTCAAAAGTTGTTAATTATTTTAAGTGAACTACATAAACTTTGTGTTACATTTTGCGAGAAAGTGCTGCTTTTCTATAAATTGTATTGCATATTGCCCCAAAGATGCTTCTTGAAAATTATTCAAGATTTTTGAAGCCTCTTGTTTCTTTTCTTTGAGTTTTTAATTCAACTTTGGCTGTTTCCTACTTTACAGTTATAGGTGCTATATAATTTACTGTTGCTTTGATATAAATCTAAAACAATGAAATTGAAAAAGGATGAAACAAAATATTCTTCTCGATAACTAACTGCTGTTACCTTTCCAGGGAGCACAAGAAATATTCACTGAACTTCCTTGTGAATTTGTTGAACCACATGAGCTTCGAGATGTTTTTCAGTCTGGAGGTATTTAATAATTATAATTTGCTTTATCCACTCTTTTTATAGTAATCTGATCTGATGAATGTCTTGTACTTGTATGCTGTCATGTTCACTGGCTGGTCCCCACAATGTTGAAAATTTTTGTGTGTTGTCTGAAGTAGAGAATGTGAGCACTCTATATTGTCTGAACTCAGGAGTGTGATTGCTGGAACTCTGGTGTGTTAGTGCAGTGTGTATGTCTTACCTCGTATGCGTCAATGTACTGCATGTATCTTGACTTGCGGTATTGGCAAAGTGCATATGTCTTGTCATGCTTGTCTTAGCATGATATGTTTGTTGGAACTCGGGACCATGAACGCTGTGCATTGTCTGATCCCAGGTGTATTAGTGTGGTGTGTAGGGAGCCTATTACAACACTGCCTGCACATAGCCTGATGTCATTGACTAAATCAAATGGTACGTACTTGGAAGAATGCTGGAAGAGTTGTGTTCTGATTTGATTTTATTATTATCTCATGCACCTAGGTACAGTGAAAAGTTTTTTGTTTTGTGTGCGGTACAGGCAGATCATACCATACAAAGTGCATAAGGGTAATAAAACAGACCGAGGAATATAATGTTACAGCTGCAGAGAAGGTGCACAAAGACTAAGATCAACACTAAATTTAACAGCAGGGAAAAAGCTGTTCAGTTGCACCTACCACGTGTCATCTGCACTTTTGATGTCATCTCCTGCAAGCAAACACAGGCAACTGAAAAAAATTCCTTTGCAACGTATTCACAACTGATACAAAAGAATGAAGCCCCAAAACTAATTGGGAGAGTGGTCTCATACTTGCCACAGAGATCCCTGTTGGCTGTGTTTGTCACGTAACTTGCATCTTTTATGTAACAATAAAAGAACGTTACACATCAGTAGATGAGCAACGTAACCACCTAACATATGGTGATTGGCTTTTGAAATGTCATTTAATAAACTGGGCAAGTCCATTTGTTAGAAGAAAACTTTTTTGCTTCCTGCTTTCAAATTGTATTTGGTCTTAAACAAATGCCAGTAAGTTTGGTTTGATGCAAAGGTTGCTAGGACAAATGCAAATGAACCCTCATTGTAACTAGCTGGTACAAATGAGTAGGTCTGGGAAAGTGCACAGTACAGCTTGCTATAATGAGTAGTTTTACATCGGGCAGGATTTGGCATTTGTTTTTTTTTTTATTAATTCACGGGATAAGTGCATTGTTGGCTAAACCAGCATTTATTGCTCATCTCTAATTGCCCAGAGTAATCTTTAGAGTTAACCACATTGCTGTGGATCTGGAGTCACCTGTAGGCTAGACCAGGTAAGGTCCTTCTTTCAAGGACATTAATGAACCAGGTGGCTTTTCCCCAACAATGGATTCATGATCATCATTCAAACTCTTAATTCCAGATTTTCTTTTTATTGAATTCAAATTCCACCGTCTGCCATGGTGAGATTTGAACTTGGGTCCCCAGAATATTATCTGGGTCTCTGGAATAACTGTCCAATGATGATGATTGTAGGCTGTTCCCTTAAAGCTATTTTTAATCAACCTGTTTAGGGATGTTATGACCTTATCTCTGAAGCAGGTGGGACTTGAACCTGGGCCTTTTGGCTCCGAGGTAGGGAAACTACGTCTATGCCACAAGACCCACCTACTTACCTTGCCTCAGCATATCAAGTCTTTTCTGGTTTGACATTATCACCAGCAGACAATACAAAATGAAATGGCTAACATTTGCATCCTGGTCTTGAAGTTACTGGCACTCTTAGAGGCAGGAGGGGTAGACAATAAATACCAAAAGCTGGCAAATGGTGAGGTGGGTAAATAAAATTATTTGGATTTCTCCGCTGTTCAGCAAAAATAACAGTAATTAAAGTACTGTGAACTGTTCAGTTTGGAATTAACTGTGTGTGATTCATTGCACAGATCAAAGAAAAGTTTACTGCACAGTTCTCAGCCGTCATCATCACGTTGTTAGAAAGAGTGATGGGAAATATGACCCTGTTGAATATCAACATCATCCTCAATTATACACCTCACGCTTCAGTGTTGATGTAAGAACGAGAAAACATTTTGGTTTGTATAAAATATCAATGCCATAGGATGTGATATAAATATTCCAGAGCCTGAGATTTATCTGAAGGGCAGTTGTTTTTTCTTTTGATTAAGCTTAGTGTCCTGATCGTTCCATTTTAATAGTCACTGATGGGTACAGTTCTTTTTTTTTTGAAAATCTGCAATGGGAAAAATTTCTCCTCCACCTCCAGACCACTATTCAGTGTTGTCTTTAGCCTTGAAATGGTTTGGTGATATTTCCAGGGTTGTACAGAACTCTCTTGACTATAAGAAAAAAGAGCAGGAGCAAACCTTCTGGCCCCTGAACCTGTTCCACCATTTAATAAAATATTGGATGATCTTGAACTTTAACTCTGAGTTTTCCCTCTCACTCCCCAGATCCTTTGATACCCTGAGAGTACAAAAATCTACATCCGTTCTAAATGTGGTAAACAATGGAGCATCCACAACTCATTGGCATAGAAAATCCCAGAGCCTGTCTAACACTGAAGAAATTTCTAATCATTTTGGACTAAATGATTGGCCTCTAATCCTAAAAGCGCCTCCAGCTAGGGGAAACAACCTCACAGTACCCACCCTGTCAAGTTCCTTCATAATCTTGAATATTTCAGATTCCCTTTCATTCTCCTGAATTCCAAAGAATACAGGCCCCAGTGTACTCAGCCTCTCATCATAGGACAACCCCTTATCCCAGGGACCAATCCAATGAGCCTCCCCAGTATTGTCTCTAATATAAGCATGTCCTACTTGAAATATGGAGATGAAAACTGCACATAGTATGTCAGATGTAGTCTCTCAAAATCCCTGTACAACTGTAGTAAGATTTCCTTATTCCTATACCTCCGTTGCCTTGCAGTAATGGTCAGTGTGCCATCTTCTTTCCTAGTTGTTTGCTGACCCTTCATGCTAACTTTCTATGAAAGGCTGTTTGATGGGCAGCTGTCATGCTCATACCATTGTTTGTGTTTTCTATCAACTTTGCGTGAACATCTTATCAACAGGACAACTTGCGTCCCAATCAAAATTTGGTTGAGCAGCACAGTGTCCTGAAAGGAACTGAACTCGACACTTCAGAAATTGTTCCACCAATCTGGCACGGTGATCCAAAGGCATTGTATTTTTATTTAACTCTTTCTGGTTCATCTATTCTGTCTGGTTTATTTGCAAGGTCATCAAATGTCGCAGGTTAACATCTATGGTTAAAATTCAGCATAGCCATTTCCACTCTTCTCATCTAGCTAGAGAGAGATGGTATATTGACTGTTTCTGATGCTGATCTTTGAAAGATTTTATTTATGATCTTTTCCATTGATACACAAATTATACATGCAAAACATTACCGAATCTAGCCAGTTCCATAGGATCGTAATGCCTTGCTAACACATTGTATTGATTCACCACTCCACCCAAGAATAAATTTTGCTACAGGCCAATTAGGGAGGAAAGACAGGAAATTCGTCAGGCTATGGACACTAGTCTAGGAGATCTTCCTGGCAGTAACTGGCAGTACAGCATTCTGAACTTACAATAGAAAATTATCTCTAACCCAGACAAAAACAGACCCAGCTCATTTGAAGAAATTTCATGATTGATTGACAGAACCACTATTCTTTGGGGAATAATAAAAGCAAAACTTGTCTGGAAAGAAATAACCTTGATATTGAACTTATCCTGCCTTAACAAAACTAAACATCATGATCTCTGATCTACCCTAATTAGTTCAACTGAAATAGGTTATATTTTTATTCATTCATGGGATGAGGGTGTTGCTGGCTAGGCAGCATTTATTGTCCATCCCTAATTGCCCAGAGGGCAGTTAAGAGTCAACCACATTGCTGTGGGTCTGGAGTCACATGTAGGCCAGACCAGGTAAGGATGGCAGCTTCTGTCCCTAAAAACATCAGTGAACTAGAAGGCTTTTTCCAGCAATCGACTCACGGTCATCATTAAATTCTTACTTCCAGATATTTATTGAATTTAAATTCCACCATCTGCTGTGGCAGGATTTGAACCTGGGGACCCAGAACATTATCTGGGTCTCTAGATTACCAGTCCAGCGATCATGCCATTAGGCCATTGCCTCCCCTCCATTAGGCCTTTGTCCATGCAAACACAATCTAATCCCTTTGTTACTTTATAATCCTTGAACAAATCAGGCCTCTCCAGCCTCTCCTTAAACTCAAACCTTTCAGTCCGGGTAGCATCCTAGTAAATATTTTCTAGTTGAATAATATTATTTTCTATGGTAGGGTGAACAGAACTGCATACAATAACCAAATGTAGCCTTACCAACATCTTCTACAGCTGCAACAAGACGCCCCAACTCCTATACCCAATGTTCTGATCGATAAAAGCTAGCATGCCGAAAGCCACCTTTACCACCCTGTCTATCTGTGACTCCATTTTCAAGGAGCTTGTACCCCTAGATCTCTTCATGCTCTCAAAGTGGAGAGATTGAGCTTGTTGAGTGTATCTTGCCACCTAAACTACTTTAAACTGGGAATGCTTTAAGCTTTAAAGATGCTAAAATGTCCACACTACTTTTTAGATTGCTCCATATACCACATGTTTGGTGAATGGTATTTATTGGGATCCAGATACACCTCGATTACTTACCCGATTGGATGCTTCCAATCTGCTGGCATCGGCCAAAGATTTTGACCCAGCTAGTGATGGTTGCCCAGAATTACCTCACAGGTAAGTTGATTATAAACTTGCTTACTTACTTTCTGAGATAGTAGGAACTGCAGATGCTGGAGAATCTGAGATAACAAGGTGTAGAGCTGGATGAACACAGCAGGCCAAGCAGCATCAGAGGAGCAGGAAAGCTGAAGAAGGGTCTAGGCCCGAAACGTCAGCCTTTCTGCTCCTCTGATGTTGCTTGGCCTGCTGTGTTCATCCAGCTCTACACCTTGTT